GATGAAGTAGGAGTGACCATGCTCGACTCGTGCGACTTCGACTGGATTTTTAACGTTGGATTACCTGTATTAGCGTAGGCGCTCTCGCGGAGCTTTTGGTGAAATTTGGAAAAATGTTACGAAACCAGCCTTAATTAAGGTGCGGTTCAACAGAAAAAAATTTCGTCAGCCGAGAAATTGGATTTTTAAGCGGCACCTTCCGCAAGATTCCATTTTGCCGTCGCTCCGCACCGGTGTGTTTAGACGTGGCGCTAATTAGTGCACTAATTAGAAAGCTGTTGCGTCGCCAACACGCGAATCCCTATCGTATCGTTTGTAATTAAAAAATAAGCACTCGCGAGAAGGGTCCTGAAAACAGCCACCTTAAACGATCTGGTATAGGGCGCGAGCTTTTCGTTATCCGAAAGTGGATTCTACCGTGGAATCCTTTAATCCTCGGCAACAAGACCCGCCCTGAGTCATCCTTGAAGCGCGACCGTCGATCTTCGTAGCTTGACTTACGGAAACGCGTGCGCGCACATCGGGTGAAAGTGCGCGCGCGACACCTCCGGCGACAACACCCGGATATCCGTTAGCACGGCCGGCGCCGTCGCGCATGTGTTTGTACAGCGTGTGCGCTTAATATTAATATGTGCACGCCTATACGGTGAATGAGGAATAGTTTCAAGCATAGTTTCGCGCTCGCGCTCACGTACTAGTAGTAATCTTCTTACACGTTAAGGACACGCTCCAGTGCGGGCATACGTGCACAGGCTCGTATTAAAGGACGAAGGAGCGTGAGGTGAATTGTGAGTGCGTAATATACGCGTATATGGCCGCTATTTGCGCGCGCGCGCGCGTCCATACACACGCGTCGACATCGTGTGCACGTACGTTTGCACGTCGTGTACACATGTGACGGTACTATCGCCCCCGCGGGTCGAAGTTTTAAACACAATTTCGCGCACACGCGCGCGCTACCGGCGGTTCGCGCTTATAGCCGGGCAATAAAAAATGTTGGCAAATGCGGTCGCATATTTATAGCTCTGTGTCTTCCACGAAATGCCGGTGCGCACACCTCGCCGCCCTGTGCACGGCAGCCGAGCGCGCCACTGCCTTCGCACAACCCCCCGGCCTGGGGAAAATACCGCTCTTCCGTTAATGCTAAAATATTTAATTCTCCGCGCGTCGCGCGAACAAATATCTGACAGTTGTCCGAATTTAATGCAACCGGCAAAACTGCGGCCTTCGTCACGACAAATGACATCGAGCCCACCCGACGCGATCCGCGCGCGCGCGCGCATGCTCGATCCTCTTTGCGCACCACAATGTTGGAAAATACCGATGGTTTTTGCGTTGGACTGCGAGCGATTCGAAACGCGTTTTGCGCGAATCAACTCTAATAATGCGTGGTGCAGGCTTGTTTTCCGGTTAATTTGAAGTAGTTCGCTAACTACTGATACTGAATGCTACAAGTTCTTGATTTTCAGTTAATTTCGAATAGAGCGTGGATATAATATCTAATTCGCTCCAACGCGCGCGCGATACGCTGAATTTTGATTACGTGGACTCAGAGATTGAGATGTGTTTAACGTTAGATGAAAAATTAATGAAAAAGCGGCCCTCCTCTCTGAGGGGAAAGACTGATACGTACGTTCGCGTCTCGCGATAATAATGGTGGAAAGTTATCGTAGGGGCGCAAAGCGTCCGCCACCGCGCGGCGAAATCGACAGAAAATTATACTTCACCTTACTCCCCCTGAGCGTGTGCACAAACAGCGAGCTGTTTGTATTAATTTTCTTTATCGAGTGCTCACTTCTCTCGGAATAATGGATTCAGTTGCATCGCGCCAGCATCGCTCAATGTCGATCGCGTTTTCGCACATGAAAAAGAAAAGCCGCCGTTCGGGAGTGCTCGATCGAGCGCGCTGAACGCTTGTAAATTTCTCGTTGACTCCGGTAAACTTTCCCAACCGTCTTGGGAGTACACATTTCCGCGGCGTATTAACGGACCGACGCGCGCGCGCGCGCGCGACCTGCATTGTACGACCGTGTAATGCGAGCGGCTGCGCCGACTTGCATACGTATCGATGTGTATTGGTATGCGCGTAATGCTCAAGTTCGTACGTACGTACGTACGTGGATACAGGCACGGTATATACGCCGCGTCTCTAGCAGGCGGGAAACCTCCGTGTTCCGCATGTACGATCTTACTAATTTCCGGGATCGAAGCCTGCCCTAAGAGAGTGGGTGGCTGGCTGCCTGGATGGCTGAAGGTAGGAAGGGAACCGAAGCTAGGGAGCCTAAGCGAAGAGAGAGAGAGAGAGAGAGAGAGAGAGAGAGAGAGAGAGAGAACTAGGAACAGCGGGAGAAGGATTCGGCTGGGCGAGGATGGCATGGGCGCGAATTCGATTAATTAAACTTCGAATTCGCGCCGCTTCGCGGAAATGGAATTATCGCGGCGTAGTCGGCGTTGGTGGCAAATGCACTGGTTCGAGGACAGCGAGCTACCACCATCAGAAGGGTGGTTACGTCAGTGCGGGGGTACACTGGCGGTATTTTGGGGGTCGGACGGTGTAACAGCTTGCGTCTCTAACCGTGGAAAGGAAATTGAAAGGGGTAAACGGCGAGTTAGTCTTACAGCCAAGGGTACAGGATGTTCCAAAACTATCTTACAATACTTTAATGACGCATTCCCATCCCTCCTCCTCCTCCTAATGACCGGAACCTAATTAGAACGAAATTCCTAATCCTAGAACGAAAACGCGCGATTTCACTAATAGTACGTTCCGAATTGTACGCTGAGAAAGAGATACTTGATAGTTTATTTCCGGGATATAAAGTTTATATTCACAGAAATAAATTTTACTCCACGGAAGAAAACTTTATTTCACAGAAATAAACTTTATGTCCCACAAATAAATTTTCAAGTACTTTTTTTCAATATATGTGTTCAAGGGCGGCCCGGTTTGAATCAATATTTTTGGCATAATTCAATTTCTCATTTCTTAATGTACGATTGTTCAAATTGTCAGATTATTCATATTTTATCAGATTACTCAAATATTTAGCCTTGCATAAAGCATATAAATAGAATAAAATTGCAACAACAATATAATATCAATAATATATAATCAACAATATATCAATATAATAGTATGTAATACCTCAAATACTAATACTCGTATGTATAACTAACCGAGACCAATGCGATTTACTATTAAGCATGCACTACAAAATATGGCACTCTGTGAGTGTTGAAATTTAACGCTCACCAACCGGTGTTGATATCTCTCGACGTGCAGTTTAGGTCCAGCTAGCTCGTCGATGCATCCGGAACTCCGTAGCGTCGTCCACGTTGATTGCGCTTCACACACTCGCGACGCGATTAATGTTCATATTTCGACGACGTTTAACGAATGGATGGCGGTATCGACGAAAAATTTTGATTTATCACGGGATGGAATATACGACTTTTATTAACAAAAAATGAAGTCGGTGTCTGTGAATTTGTTTGATAGGAATGTTCACCGTCGCGATACGATGAATTCACTTTGGAAATCCCGGCTCGAGGAAAACTTTGGAAATGTACTCGCGGCATGTACACACGGCGAAAATTATAATACTACTAAAACACACGCGACAGTGCATAAATTAAATTTTCTCTGTTAATAATATTTATTTTTTAAAAGGAAGAAGAATGAAAAAGAAAAGTGGCAGTTGGCGTGTCCAGAAGCAGTAATGGAAATTTCAATTTTTGAAACCGACACGCGATAATATCGCGACGATCGCGAAATCAATCGAAACCGCGCGGATAAAGCACTCGAAAGTGGCGTGAACTTTTCACGTATGATGGCTTCGCAATGCTTATGCAAAGATTACTCCGCAATACTTGTGCGAAGATTGCTTCGCAATACTTATGCGAAGACTACCTCGCAATATTTGTGCAAAGATTACTTCGCAATATTTGTGCGAAGATTACTTCGCAATATTTGTGCAAAGGCTACCTCGCAATACTTATGCGAAGATTACTCCGCAATACTTGTGCGAGAATAGCTCGACAATATCTTTGCGAAATTTTTCTTCAAAGTACTATCACGAATTTTATTTAACGAAAGACTTGTACTTAAAGAGCATAATTATGCAAATACAAACGAAAATTAGAAACTAGAATTCACCGTGGTTAGATTTACTGAAATGTAAAAACTCGAATATTAAAAACAGCAAAATTTACTAACGCATATTTACGCGAGTAAAATAATCGCGACTATCGTAAATTATCTATCTCTCAATACTATCAAGACTAATTATCGAGACTAACATAACAACGAGAATGTAAACATGAAAGAAAAAAAAATAAAAACTAGAAGCCACGTTGACCGTCAAATCCACTAATTATATTATGTGTATTATGTCTCAATTATATTAAGAAACTAAAGACCGATGCAATTGTAGAATCTGTTAACACAAGCGAAATTATCTCGAGTTCTGCGTATGACGCTATTCTGAACGCGTGATTGCCTCGCAATACATTTTGTGAAGTCTAACGGCCGATTTCCGCTCGGCCGTGTTCGTGAACAAACATGACAAACATGCCAGAAAATTAAACCGTCGAACGAAGTAATTGTACAAGTCGATAATAATGCATCGCATATTTTAAAGACTATTTCATTAATACAACAAAAACTATCAAGTTTCCAATTATATGATCGAGTGTTACGTGTGAAAGCAGATTTAATGCAATAATATATCCACACTAATTAATCGAATTATAATAAATTATATAATGTATCGAGTATTTTCGCAATCTCGTTTATCTCTCCCTCTTTCTCTCTCGAAACGAGAAAAGCTCATTTCATATTACTATACTTCGTTCATGTTACTTCGTTCAACAGGATCATATTAATAAACATGCAAATCTACGTGTAAATCGCATTGATATATTGATTTCGCGAACACATGCATCATTTAATATCTTTATAACAATTACCATGAATTTTTCACTCAATTTTTATCACTCACCGAATCACCTGGAGCTCAGAGCCGGCCACGTTTTGCTACCTATATCTGGAACAAAAAATATAATTTTTTAAATTAGATTTACAAGTTCTGTTTAATTAATAAATATAGGTACAAATGTAGGTGTGTGTGGATGTGTGTGAGTTAGCTGTTCTCGATCGTAACACGAATTATGTCGACAACTCTATCCAAACTTTCAATCAAAAGTTTGGACAGAGTCGTCAAAACGACTCGAGTTACGATCATAAGCGTTTAAATTGTAATACAGGAAGACTATAAACTTACCTTCGAGCCGACTCTGCTTGACCCAAACCGGATCCTCCAGTGCTGCTTCCGCATCGGCTGAGACTGCGACTGTCCTGGCAATGTGGTCGCAAACTTCATCGAAACAAAAGAATCTGAAGTAGAAAGTAAATTTTCATGATCAATCATAGTAACGGAGCTTGTTCAGTTTCACAACGCTTAATTAATTAAACATTGCGATAGCGTTTCTCGCATTCGCGTATATTGTATAGATTATTAAGATCTCGCGAAGCTATTACGATCACGAAGAATTAAACGAAGGATTATAGAGAGCCTGTGAACTTACTCTCTAGACAACTCAGCTAGACACGTACCATACCCTCCGGCACTGTTTCCGTATTCGCCGAAACTACGACTCTTAGTACAAATTCCTTCGCACACAAACAGAACAATCTGAAAATATATTATTCTTATTAATTATGACGATGGAGATTGTTCGATACGACGAAAGGTTACGTGATTTAATGGTTATGATATTTTATGTGACGTTGCAACGTTCAATTAATTAATCGTTTTGAAAACGTTTCTCGTATTCCCGCATATGGTGCAGCTACTGATTGTCACGGAGGATTATTACGATCGCGAAGGATTAAACGAAGGATTATAGAAAGTTTGTGAACTTACTCAAGACGACTCAGCTAGTCTCGTATCACATCCTTCAGTACCGTGCTTCCATATCCACTAAAACTGCAACTATCTTCGCGACAAATTCCACCACGAATAGAAGTCTGAAATAGAAATTGAATTATCTTGATTAATTATAGAGATAGGAACCGCTTGATTTCAACGAGATGAGAGATGAGGTGAAAGGAAGTATTCCATACCAAAAAGCCATACCATAATGAACTAAATAGAAGTTAAATAAACATAAATAAACATAAGATATGACAAACACTTTTCGAATTACAGAATGCTCTCATCGTTCGTGATGTCGCTAATTTGATGATTGCGCGTGCAAAATTATAATTAACTCACAATTGTTTTGATTAATTTAGGAAAATCGGAAGTAATAAACTACGACGCGTTTGTCTCCGGTTCTACAACAACAATGATTGCCCATGCGCGAGCGCCGTATTTATTTGTAAGATCACGTAACTTTCAGCGTGCCATATACTTAGAACATTGTTTTGATCACGTTACGCGCGATAACAATAAAAAAAATTCTTCAGTTATTGACTCTACTTTATAATATTATAATACGTCGCGTTTATTACAATATATTAATTATTTAATAAACGTGCCAATAAGATTTCTCGCGTTTCCTATACTGAAAGAAAAAATATTTAAAAATTAGTAAATATTTATTTGGTGAGTATTAACATATTTACTTGTACCGATGTATAAAAAATATGTTCCAAATAAGAAAATATACATTTTCTAAAACCTTAAAAAAAACTTTAGTTTCTCGAGAAAGCAATTATTTATTCCACTTAAGTAAAAGAATTTAAATTTAAATAAATAAGTTCTGTTAGTATCCAGATAAACATTGATAAATTTTTAGATATTTTTTTCTCTCAGTGCACGGATCGTTGAGATTTTGCGACCAAGAACTATCACGACTACAAAAAATTAAAATAAAAACTTATAGTCTGCGAAATTACCGTAGAGACGACTCTGCTAGGCTCGAATCCTCTGGTGCTGCATCTGTAATTGTCGTTAACTGCAGCCCCGAAACAGCATCCGCGTGTAGCTGCAATCTCTGCCAGACCTAAAACAAGAAATAGTTTTCCTGATTAATTACAGCGACAGAACTGTCCTTTGGTCGCAAACGAATCAAGATACGAGATGGCCTCTCGACTGTATTTTTTTTTTAGAACTTAATGAAAATTAGATGCGACTGTCACCTGATAAGTCTACGCTCCCGCTGCTCAAGACAATTTCCGTACACGTTAATCACGTCGCATTCATGTTTTCAATTAACTCTGATTAACTTAGGAATGCGTAAAGTTCGGAAGGAAACGGCAGCGACTACGTCTTACGTGCTTACTCATCCGTATCCGGTATTTTACTATGGCAGGCGTGCTCAGTTGCGAGCGTCAAGGCGCGCGGTGCGCTAAAGGTCGCGACAACAACACAAACGCGGACTCGCGTAACCGTCGAATACATCTTTATACACGATGTCCCGAAATTACCGTGCAATATTTTAATAGCATATTCGGAATTTGCGGCTCAGTGCGGTACAGTACGGTGAGGTGTTGCGGGGATGAAACGCGGCGCGACGGGGTGCGGTGCGGCATAACGGAGAAAAGTTTTGGCAGGGATTCGAGCCGTGAGAATTTAAAGTCCCGCGAATCTGGCTAAGACCGATGGACTTTTCCCTCGACTTCGAGTCGGCGTTTCAATAATCCGCTTTGGTATCGCGCCGCTTAGCCTCCGCCGAGGCGAGGAAGAGCGCGGGCAAGCGTTTATTAGGTTCTCAAGTCGAGCTCGCCCGACTTGATCGATTACAGGCAGTCGCTACGAGTCGCGAGAAATTCGGATTTTTATTGTTCGATACACGTTGACAATCGTATGGAAAATCCCCCGAATTGCGCGCCCAGATTGATCACAATTTTCCCGCAAAGAGTGAGAACGCTTTTGCTTGTAAAATGCAACACTCGAGTTAACGTAGAATTGCAACACCAATTTCTTTGCTTCTACTAAAGCCACCGTCCAAATCTCTATTGTCCAAATATCTATCAAATAACTCAGCAGTTAACATAATAATTTTACACACGTACGAAATAGGTTTTCTGAAATAATTAAAAGATGGTTTTATGTATAGCGTACGTGTGAGTATTAAAAAATCGTCTGACAAACAAAGTGTCGTCGCGGTGAATATCGATAATTAATCGCCTTTATATTTTTAAACGAATAAGAAGAGACGACCGAGATTACAAAAGTGACTAATAAAACTAGGAAAACTTATAAGATCGTTCTCCGCGACTTTCAGTGATGGCTCGATAATCCGCTTATGTCACCACTTCGGATTGTTAAAAACAAAAAGAAGCTCCGAGAGAGGCTCGCGATGTCTTTACCGCTACGCTAAAATAGAATCTCGCCGAGGATAAAATAATAGTTTGACGTAAGGCACTCATATCATGGATATAAATGTCATTTCGGGATTTAATGTCGAGATATTCCCTCTTACGCGAACTCTACGATAAAAATAAGAAAAAAACGATAGTAACGATTCAATTGTCGTTTTATCGAATTGTGATATAACGAATTATTCACATTTCACTTATTAAATCTGATTTCACGAAGTACAAAATTTATACATTTTGTTTCTTTTCTTCGCGAAAAAGAGAGAATCTACAAGCATGATTTTCCGCATGATTAAATTGATGACACGGTTCACCGATTTCTTCGAGACGAGCGTTTTTTCCGCACTCATTACAGGCGCGACATGCGCTTCCCAAGGGAAACGACAACGAGATATTAAGATAGGACTCACGGCAGGATAGGTTTATATCTCCCTAATCCTTTGCGGATATGGTGCACGCGGCAAAAAGCCGACGTAGAAGAAAAGGAAGCGTATGTCACGGTTTGTACTTCCTTTGCGCTGTCGCGGCGCAGACAGCGCTGATGATAAAAATCCTTTTGCGGCCGCATAATATCATAATAACTATGTAAATCAGACCGCGGTAGCAACCTACAAACACAGAATCGGATATTCGTATGCTAAGCCTCCTCTCTCCCGTTCTCTCCGCGCCGCGGCCGCCATTTCACTTTGATATACACTATATATTCACTGGTACCCGACTCCGACAACGAGTTCAGCGCTCACGAAAAAAAAAAGGGATTATTTAACTATCTACTCTTGCAGTATTAACAGTCAACGGCTATGGTGACATCAAACAAATCCTCTCTTGGATAAAACGCGAGACACAGAGCGCGTGTGCGAAGTGTTTAATGCGAAAAACGCGGACGCGAACGTGCATGTGTGTGTCGCGTATCGAAAAACTGCTTAGCTCTGATAATAAAATTCCGGCTGCCAAATCAAATCGCGATGGGACTTAAAAGGTTTCAAGTTATCTTCCAAATACGTGACCAGCGCGTTCTCCCGATCCTTTCACGAAGACGAAATCTATCGGATTATAAAGACGCATTAAACATTTACTAGTTTTTCCGAAGACTTGGAAGAAAGTTTAGAAAGGTGCTTTGCCGGGATCATATTTATGTGGGAAGAAGTTTGAGATAAGTGTAGAAGTCGAAAAGAAGTTTCGAGCGGGAAAGCCTGAAATAAGATGGAAACTCCAGAAAAATCTAACAAAATATTTAAGAGAAATTTAAAATATCTCGATGTATTCCGCGGTGAAACACAATAAAATCTTCTCTTTGCCACGCTCGGTAGTTTCGCGGGAGAAAAGTGGGTGCGGATAAAAGTACGAAATATCTCGATTTCACTGTTCTCAATTCAACTTCCGAAGAATCACTCGTATTATTCGGTCCGACTCGTTTGAGATTTTTCTCTACCTTTTTAACGCAGCGCGTTCGTGTGTGTACCCGAATCTATTTTTCTTAAAGCACCACCATTGCTGACACGCTATTTTCATCCTGAACTTTACATTCCCTCTCACCCTTATTGTCATCATTTTTCGCCGAGTCTCGTTAAGATTAAAACCACAAAAATTGGAGTCGCGACGTACGGTATTAAAGCAATTTATTTGCTACGAAAGCTAAAGCATTTCAGCATTCGCGCGGGGTCGCACGGCAACGAAAAATGTTTAGGGGCGACTATATGTCGCTCAAAATAACGTCGCGCGGGGAGGACGAATTGCGTTTCGACAACGAGCTCGGTGCCGCAATAGATTTAATAAGCAGTCGTAAACGCGTTACAACCGGCCGACAACGAGGTCGAATGAGACTTTAAGCGTTGCACGCAGATGGTGCCTTCTTCCGCGAAGTCGACGTCGCATTTATTAATCGTAAGCGTTAAATAATTACACTTTATGCATCAATCGCGAAACTGCGTGTGTACTCCTTGCCAGCAGGATAGCGACGCTACTACACTAAATTCGCATATATCTTTAGCGTTGAATTATCTATCTCTTCGAATACTACCGCATTTCCAATTCCGATTAATAAATCAGACAACTGTCCGACTCTATATTACTATATAATTCAGTTAAAGACAATAGTGAAAGTGACACGCGGCGACTCGACACGATCAGTGCGACCAACACTGGTTGGATATATCGAGAAAGATGAGGATTACAATCTAATAACGTACTTACGATACATCTTAACGATCGCTATTGTCGGCACTCCCAATATTCATTTACGCACGAGACTCACTTTCGTCAGATAAAAGACGCGTAACACACGGAGCGATGTCGATTGATGTGTTCATAGCGATTGGTCGGGGCGAAAAGATCGATATTCAAGATGGTCGCGCAACTGATGATATACGCCAAAATACGCGCTAAGACGTAAAGGGTGTCGCCCTCTTGTACCGGCGCGCTCTATACTTTCTTTTCTCTTTGTCCCTCTCTCTCACTAGCAAACTGACGCTACCATGCGAGAATCGACGTCGCGTATATCTCTCACGTCGTCTTTTCCCCTCTAATTATCACCGTATTTCTGATTCCCGAGTAACAAATTCGACGATCCTACGATTCTGTCGCTACTTGAATGACTCAAATATAATCAAGTGAGAGTGGCAGACACAGACTCGACACAACGCGCGACAAGCACCGATTGTATATACTCAAAGCGAAGAGATTACTATCTAATAACGTACTTACGATACGTCCTAACGACTGCACATCGCTATTGTCGGCATTCCTGATACTCTTTTGCACGAGACTCACTTTCGACGGATAAAAGACGCGTAATACGCGGAGCGATGTCGATCGATGTGTTCATACCGGTTGGTCGGCGCGAAAAGATCGATATTCAAGATGGTCGCGCAACTGATGATATACGCCGAAAATACGCGCCAAGACGTGAAGGGTGTCGTCCTCTTGTACTGACGCGCTCTATGCTATCTTCTGTCTCTCTGTCCCTCTCTCTCTCTCTCTCTCCTACTAACAGACCGACGCTATCGTACGTCGCGATTCGACTCCGCGTATATCTCTCGCACACATCGTCTTTTTCCTTTCCTCTCTAATTATCACCGCATTTCTGATTCCCGAATAACAAATCCGACGATCGTACGATTCTGCTACTTGAACGATTCGAAAATAATCATGTGAGAGTGGCAAACCACCGACTCGACACGACGCGTGACAAGCACCGATTGTATGTACTCAAAGCGAGGAGTTTACTGTCAACGTACTTACGATACGTTCTGACGACCGCACATCGCTATTGTCGGCACTCCTGATGCTCCTTTTCGCGCGAGACTCACTTTTGATGGATAAAAATGCGTAAAACGCGGAGCGATGTTGATCGATGTGTCGATGGCGGTTGCTCGTCTCGAAAAGAACGAAAATGATGGCGCAATGCATGATGCCGAAAATTCACGCGAAAGTGTTGCATCACTACGACGACGCTATCTGTACGCAGTTCTGTGAACGTCTTACCAATCGATAGATCAATTCGATCGGTCGATTCGATAGTTTGATAAGTTTTCGACCAATACCTAACCCAACCCTGGTGCATTAGTTTCTGGCTACGTGTTTATCAGTCTAGTCAGTTGTTACCCCAATTAAAGAGGAAGAAAAGGACGTGTTTGTCTGATGTTGTTATTACTGTTAATACCATGCATACGTGCAACTGCATTTTTGATACGTGTAGCTGCTGTGAACACACCAATCGACATCGCTTCGCGTTTTACACCGACTTTTGTTTGTCGAAAGTAAATCTCGTGTAGTAATCACTATCAGGAGTGTCAAAAACATCAATATGCGATCGTTCGAACGTATCGTAAATATATTAGAATAATTTCCTTTATTCTTCATATTTGTCACCAGTGTTTGTCATGCATCGTGCCAAGTCGAGTCTATTGTCTATTGTCTATCACTCATCATCTTCGACTGATTCAAGTGGTAATAGAATCAAACGAT